CATACCACAAATGCACTTTTACAAATTGTCTATTGAAGACACCGTTTGAACTGCAAGGAGCCTGGGGAGGAGAGAACTCACTCCAAGATGCAATCAACTTGCCTGACCATGGTAACCCCCAAAGTATGCTTCTGGTACTTTGAAAAAAATGTAGATTACACCTAAATACTACTACTACATTTCCTTGAGCATGTAGAGGTATTAAAAAAAACCAAAACCACATTCTCTAAGTTTTACTCACTTATGGTAAAATATTTTATTGTGTTCAGATTAGCAGAGCCTGCAAGTGTTTTGAGGATTTTGCCATTTTCCTCCTTTTGCTCCCTCTCAGGCATGGGATGGAATAGCTTTGCTTTTGTACTAATTTGAGGGTCATAGAAATATGTAATTTATTGCTAAGTCACAGGTGCTAAGATAAAAGAGCAAGTTTGCATCGTAGTGAGGAGGGAACGCGTTTGATGTTAACACATGATTCGTTGGTAAAATTTTCAATAAAATGAACATAAAATGCGACCCCAATGAACTTGAAAGAAGGTAAAATAAACACTAAACTGCTCAGATTTGGTGCTAAAATACTGCTTCAACTCAGCTTTTAACACCAAAACCCTGTCAATATTAGATGTCGGGTATAAAGTGATAAAAATCTTTATTTAGGGTGCCAAGATCAGGCGTTTGTCGGGTGACTTATCACAAGGGCACTTGATCAGGTAATGACGCAAAGTTGTCACCATTAGCAGTCCCGACATTTGCACACGATGAATATTTTTGAAGAACACAACATTTTGTATCGTACTTTGTACAATCGCATTAAACCGCACCTACTCTACGCGTGAGAGATTTCCTAGATTCGGTGAGACCACATTTGACGCCCTTCCATTCGCAAAAAAAATACAGGTCACTTGGTAAGTTAATTATGCCACCGCTCTTAAAAGGAGAAGAATCCTGTTAAAATTGTCTAGTTAAAAGGTTTGAGTGGCAGGATGAAGTGATAGCTCCTTAACTTTGCAAACATTATTGTCCCACGGTATATCTTTCAATGCTAAAGTACACAAAGGCACTTCTTATGGTAGCTTAACTTTTTTTCCCTTTCTAGGAGGTGGCATTACTGGTATTGGCACTAAAAAGCATATTTTGAGTAACAATATTTACTAATAATAATTAAATAGAAGAAAGAGCATTTGATTTGGAGGGGAATGCTTTATCTCTGCGCCATACGCGGCGATTGAACGGAGGACCAATCAAAAAGCAGGCTGGAAAAATGGCTAACCAATCAATATGGCAGTTCTCTAGCAATCAGTAAACCTGGCAGTAGCCAGCCCAATCAGCGTCCCCCAGGTTGTCTGAGCTTGATAGATTCATAGTGCGTACGCACACACCCGCACGCTTGCATATGTGGGACCGACGCAATTAAAGCCACATCGCCATGCCTCGCCACAATCCTCCTCTGCTGCCTCCTCCTCCTCCTTCTCCTCCTCCACCTCCACCTTCTCATTACCAATGGCCACAATTAACTACCCCTTGCCAGTTGATCTCAACTGAATGAAACAGGAGATAGAAATGGAGAGTCGCGACACCTATAAATACTCTACCGACAGCGAGGAATTGCCACTCAACGCGGCGCTGGACACAAACCGTCTTCTGGTTGGTGGCCCGTGTTCCTCTAAGGGCTGTCATTTGTCCTCGGTCACTTCGACCAATCAGCAATCAGGCTCAGCCTATGACCCGGTTGCTGACGCTCCTGACATAGGCAACGCTCAACGCTTGGCTCTAGGAGCACCAGTTCAAAGTGCAAAAGGCACATCACAACCACCACTGCCTCCTGTTCCCCTCGAGGGTCTCTTTGGCCTGTCCGATAGCTTAAAGAATATGAATAACTCTATGATGCTGACTACTTCACCTGACGTCAATGAATGTCCTACACCCCACATTCGTCACGGCGGTGGTCTCGTCGTCAATGGAAAACGACTTACCGCATGCACGTGGCGAGAATTTTTACTCATCATCCTCTGCGTTATTCTCACCACCCTCCTCATTATCATCCTCTTTCTCTACTTTGGAACACCAAAAGGTAGGCCTTACACAATAGCAGTGAGTCGCAACACCGTGCCTGTCATGCATGTCATTCCATTGTTTTTTTTTGTGCATTGCGTCATTGCTGCATTAACACAATGACAAAATCTCATGCCAAACTCCTCTTCACACCTTACACACGTGTTGTTGTTGTTGTGGTGGTGGTGGTGTTAAGACCGCTTTGATTGTGTCTTCTATTTTTTTTTTTTGTGAATATTTATATTTTTCAAAGGAAGGTAAGTTAATACCGACCTTCAATGGCGCCTCAATGTCATTCCCATCTCTCACTCTCATATCATAATTTCATGATCACAACAAAATGTCGCATTATTTTTTGTTGTTTGTGTATTCCTCAGATGACATCTGTCAGACAGTGGAGTGTGTTGAAACAGCATACAAAATACTCTCTGGAATGAATCAATCTGTGGAACCGTGTGAAGACTTCTACAGTTATGCATGTGGTGGGTGGATTGAGAAGCATCACATCCCTCCCGGCACCAACAGTTGGACTGTCTTCTCTGAGTTAGCGCAAACTGCTGAGTACTTTGCCAAAGAATTGCTGGGTAGGTCATTTTGTTGTGTACTTTTTCCACTTCTCCCCCCTCTCCCCCCCTCCTCCACCCGCTCCTCTGCCTCCTCCAGCACAGCATCACTCTACACGTCAACAGCTTCCTTCCTTGCCAGTCTTGGCTTGTCACTGTCAACCGCAGGTTTTAGACCGCCTTGAGGGTTTCCTCCTAAAGCGAATCTTATTTTCTTGCCTCGCTCCTCCCCCCTCCCCACCTCCTTTTCTCCCCTCCTTCATCCTTCTCTCTGAGTAATGATGGATAATTTAGAACATAATTATCTTTCTTTTTATTTTATTTTATTATTTTCTTTTTTTAATTGCTCGATTGAGAACAATTGGTGGGGAGTTGAGGTGAGGCTCGTGAGTGATTGGGGGACTGCGTCACCCTCCTCAAAGGTCCAACATTTGAGGCACTAAAAAAGAGGAAAGAAAAAAAATTTGTTGTTTTTTTTTTTTTAATTCTCAAAAATGACTTTTTATCATGATTGCCAGGTGACGTGATTGAATAGGACACATCGAGGTTATTCGTATGTGAAAAGTGGGTCAGAAGGACCACTGCGGAAATTATCAAGGCCATATCAATGACATGGACATGTCTGTCAGCTGTCAAAAATGGAGGGGAGCAGAGGAGAAACACTTTTTTTTCTCCTCTTTTTTTTTGATATTTTAAATTTGATCAGTAGGAGGAAGAGGGCAGTGTTGCATTGAAGAGGGAGTTAAATTAAAGTTGACAGTAGAAGGAGGGCCTAAACAAGTGCCCTTCACCCCTCCTTCCTCCCCCCCCCTCCGCCCTCACAGTTCTTCCTCTTTGGCCTTTGCCTCTAAGGCAGCTCTTCCGTTCCACAGTCGTGTACTGAGGCAATTAAATGAGATGGAGTAATAAGGAGGGATGAAGTTGGGTGTGAGATAAAGTAGGCGAAAATTTACACTCCTCCTCCGCCTCCTCCATTCCTCTCTCACCTCCGCCACTGCCTTCCTTTTCTTTTGATGTGTTCAAAACACCTTGAAGGCATGAAACACACGAACTTCACTATAGCCTTGAGACGTCGTCACTGTGTGAAGGAGTGTTGACTCTGTAAAAGGTGGTGAAAGTAAACCTCCCTTCATCACCTTTCCCGCCTAACCTGTAGAGAAAGAAGCCACTCCAAATGACAGTCGAGGCTTACAATTGGCAAAGACGTACTTCGCTTCATGCATCAATGAACAGGCGGTGAATAATTTGGGCTTGACACCGATCAAATCGATGCTGTCACACCTTTTTGGCGGTTGGCGTCTTCTGTCTAATCACACATTGGGCGGGCGGTCGGACAGTCCTCAAACCGATCCCTTCATCACCGGCAAATACGATCTCACGGAGCTGATTCAAACCTTCCTACGTTTTGGTCATGGTGTGGACATCTTTCAA